TTGCTAGGACTTTTTGATGGAAGTGGCAACGCCGCAATGCTGAAAATATTTTAGATCGATAGAACAGGTAAGGAAATGTGAGAGGTGAAATTTTCAGAAAAATCATGCTTTGCGTTTTCCAGAAACGTCTAACCTACCATCGACCGTGAGTCACGCTGTATATTCAATCATTGATAAGGATATCAATCTCATTATAGCTCGAAATGTAACAATAACAATAATGATGCAATGTATCTTCGATATTTCATTGAAGTAAATTTTGTTTTTAGCGTCAGTAATGGGAGGTGAAGAAAATCCTCTGCAACATTTTTTAGGCATTTTATATTCTAGCTTCTGTTCTGTCTTTGAACTATCGAACATAATTATAGCTTGTTACATAAATTCATCTGAACATAATATTACTCGATTGTTTCATAGAGGGCGCCTGAAGGCGATCTAAGAGCGATGTCTGTTCGTAAGTCAACATTCACATTGGATTTGAATCGCTGGAGATTAAATCTATTCAGAAAAACGTTCTCAGAAAGTGTATTCCATTCGAGCGCAGTTCTCCAAATGAAAGAGTTCTTTCATTGCCGGTCCAAGCACTGTTTTGTGAGTTTCACTTGAAACTTAACTTTCAGTTCCTTGATGACCACACCGAAGTAAACACGAAATATTCAACCTTTCTCAGTGAGCTGAGAGGAATATACAAAAAAAGTGAACTGCGGAAATATATTTTTACGATCTATCCAAAGTCCACGCAATCCTCACCATTGGGATATAGGAAACTGTGAGATATAAGAGATGGTTCAATTAGGGCAAAGTTGCGCATTTACCTGACTAACAATATGCCGTTGAGAAAGTTCTATAATTCCAAGTATATCCGGAGATATCTGGAAAAAACAGATATTTCGGAAAATGGTTTTTATTTTTTTCTGGCTTTATTTTTCAAAGGATTTGAAAATAAATCGCACTTCCACATTGACACTTTTTCCCTGGTACATAATGTTTTCAGCATTTCTACCGACGTTTCGTCTTCTGGTCACCATGGGCGCTACATTGGATTCTTTCTATTTTGAATAGTGTATCATAAGTTATAATTCTTTTTCGAAAAATTGGAGATATTGATGTTACTAAATTTGACTTTCAATGTGTTACACTCAATTACATTTTGTTATTGTACAAGTCATTGAATTTTTCGCGAAAAATGGCTTTCACGAATGAAAAAAAAGAGATATGATACAAATTTATTACAAATACGATAGAAACAGTGTTACGAAATCGGAAATGTATATAAACTTGTATCCCGAAAGACGACAACCACATCGAACTATGTTTAAGTTATTGAATCAAAATCTCACCGAGTTTGATTCATTTGAAAAGCCGAGGAAAAAATACGTAGACAGAATGGACCAGGAAACTGAAGAAATGTTTATAAATGAGGTATGTATGAGGTAAGTTAGACATTGTGTCCTTTTCAATAAAAATTAATGATTTACATATTAACATGAATCCGGGGAAATCTATACGTAAAATTTCCTCCGAAATGAATATTTGTCATACAAGTGCTTGGGGACATCTAAAAAACGGTTTAAAATGTTACAAAGTACACATATATCAAAAATTGCATCCATGTGATCCAGAAAGGCGATTAGAATTTTGTAATTGGCTAATAAGAATAAGAAGACCTGATTTCCTGGGAAATGTAATTTGGACAGATCAAAGCACTTTTACGAATTGTGCGATATTCAACCGAAATAACGAACACATTTGGAGCACAAACAACCCCAGGCGATTCCGAGAAATTCGACCGCAAGTGCGATTTAGTATTATCGTGTGGGCAGGAATTTACGAAAATAGAATTTTGGGTTCTCATTTATTTGACAGAATTCTGATAGGTGATAGGAAAAACCTATCACCAGTTTTTAATGTCGATTTACGAAGACCATTTGGATGATCTACCTTTGGCTAACTATATCAACATCTGGTTTCAACATGATGGTGCTCAACCGCACACTACCAGACGAGTATTTAATTACCTGACTGAAAGGTTTTGTAATACATGTATAGGGAATAATGGGCCGGTGAGGTGGGGAGCAAGGTCTCCAGACTCAAGTGTTATGGATACATTCTTATGGGGTACAATGAAAAATAGAGTTTATAGTCAGAGGGAATATCAAAATATTGAGGAACTTTAGCATAGCATTGTTAGAGAGTTCGGAAGATTGAGGAGGAGGGAAATTAATCGTGTAGTGAATAATATTCGCAGAAGGTCACGGTTATGTTATCATGAACAAGGCCAGCATTTTGAGCATTTGTTGTGAGTTACTTTTGTCTTCACATTTTAGGTTATAATTGTTATTTGTTCAAAGTTCTATTTTCATTAAAAAGGACACAATGTTCAATTTACCTCATACACACCTCATTTATCATATTTTGATTGTTGATTCTGTCTCCGTATTTTATCAATGGCTTTTCAAACGAAGCAAACTCGGTGAGATATCGATCCAATAACTTGAACATAGTTCGATGTGGATGTCGTCTTTCGGGATACAAGTCTGAATACATTTCCGATATCCTAACACTGTTTCTATCGTATTTGTAATAAATTTGTATCATATCTCTTTTCTCTTTATTCGTGAAAGCCATTTTTCGCCAAAAATTCAATGACTTGTACAATAACAAAATGTCATTAAGTGTAACAAATTGACAGTTAAATTTAGAAATATCAAAGTCAAAGCCTATTATGATAAGATTTTTTTTTAATATCTCCAATTCTTCGAAGAAGAATAATAACTTATGATACACCATTGAAAAGTTAAAATTTGGTTCTATTCGAAACAGATAAAATCGAATGTAGCGCCCATTAGAAAAAATAAAGTTGATGATGATGGCCGGAAGACGAAAGGTCGGATAGAAAATCTGAAAACACCTTTCTCTAGCAGGGAAAAAGTGGCAACGTGGAACTGTAATTTATTTTCGAATCCTTCGAAAGTTTGACATTTCGAAATATGTTTTTTATTTTTTATACTTTATATAACCCCTTAGCTGTACAACTGTACTCTTATCTTAAAATTGTAACTCATCCAAGCACTTGAGTCAGTATTCGTAAATGTTTTGGCATTACCATGTTATTTTTCCTAACTGTACAATATTTTTCCTTTCCACACATAGACATGTTCCTCTATCATCAATTTATTCACGTCTTTCTGTTTTATTTCTAATCGATGTATACATTTTATAGAATGTTATTATTATTGTTGTTGTTACCAATACCTAATTTGTATAAAGGTTCTCAATAAGTCACATTGAATTTATCGCACTCTTTTCACTTGTTTATATATTTCAGACACAAACTGGAAGAAAAAGCCTTTCGAAACAAACACCTCCATATAAGCATTGGACTATAATTCAATATTCATATAACATTGAATTCGATGTTCATATAAAAGTAGTTGAATTTATTTTCAAATTAATTGTTTTTTTTGCCTTTCTTCAGAAGATTCCCTCATTTGTTTCTGTATAAAAATAAAAAAGTAGAAAGCCAAATCTTTTTTTCCATTTAATATTGTGCCAGAGAGAAAACGCTATTATTATGTCACAATCATGCTTACCGATTGTTTTCCTTCGTAACTTGGAGAGTTGAGGTTATCATCCATTTCCCCACCACTAGTTGGTGTTCCCCAAATTTCTTCTCCAGAAGTAGCTCCTGATGTTTCTTCTTCCTGTTGATCATCTCCATTCACAGGATTTTCTGGCGACCTCAGATATCTGAAATGAATATTACCAGCGATGAATTAGGTTAATAATTTGAATTTTCGTGAAAACTGTATCAACCAAAGTAGTTTCAGAATTTAATAATTATGAAATTCAGAGTGTCCTTCGGAATGTTGGCACACAGAAGTTGTTGGAATGTTGGCCACAGAAGTAACTCAGAATAATTGGTTTCAGTATTTGATACCTCTGGAATTCCATAAACATGATGAATTATATCAATGATTCGAACCCTACGAATTCTAAACGGGTCTACTTCAAAAAAATTTCGAATGCAAACACAGATTATATGTTGTGCTGGAACAGCTTACAGTTCCAGAATATGAATGATTGACAGAAAATGATAAAAGCCCATAACGATTTCTTTATTTGTCTATCTCACCCTATAAAAGTTAAAGTGTGAATAAAGAGAATATTGAATTATAGAATGAAAGGAAACTGCATGTGATACTGGTGTGATACTAATTTCCTATCATTTAATATCTCAAAAACTAACATCATCACCCTCAAGTGCTGCACACTGTATATTTACCTGTGAACTCAAGCAATTATATCAGTAAACAAAATGTCAGCAAAATTTTTGGGTCACATTTTGAAGGTCACATAAATAACCTATGTAAAACACTTCATCGGAATGCTTTGCAGTATTAGCAAATGAACTGGGCCTTATTGTGGTAAAAAATGTGAACTTTGTTCTCATTGATTCCCATCTGAGACACGGTATCTGTTTTTGGAGAAAGTGCTGCCAGTACATGTTTGATAGGGTGTTTGAACTACAAAAAAGACATTCACAAGACATAAAATCTGGGACTTGCCTTCCATACTTATCTTGAAAATGGTATGTCTGATGCAATAAAAATATAGGAGGAAAATTCTCAGTGCACCTCAACGAAATACGAGAAATGAGCTCAATATAAGTTTATTCATTCCAATGTCATCAAAAATTGAAAGGTCTTCAATATTATAAAGAAAAACATTGTTGGTCGGATAACACAAAAGTCAGATAATTGATTTGAGGCAGCATTTCAAAATATCATGAAAATGATGAATCTGTTGGAATCTATGGAAATAAACAGGTCAAAGAAAGATCCCAATTCTATTGTCCTTAACGAACAACTTGAATTAAACAATAGTCCTCTCCTTAACCTATAGTCCAGATCCCAAAACCTACATTATATTGAAAGCTTTGTTATGTTCACGGATTTTACAGGTATATGAAACGCAGGTACCGGATATCAGGTTATGTATAGAAGAAAGCTCACACAATTAATTTGTGATAATAACTTCCATGTAATTGGGCTGTTAAGTCTGTATGGAAAATAAAATAAAATATATTATGGAAAAAAATGTTTAACTATTTGCCAGTTGAGATCATATAAAATTCAGAAAGTCCGTAAGAAAGCTTCTGATTTCAAATGCCCATTATTCTTTACACCAGACGCTCCCAAACTTTTTTTCATCATGGACCATTTTCAAAATTTTGCTGGTTTCGGAGGACCCTCTTCAGCTACATTTCTATTTACCATATTCCCAAAACTCGACAAAAATGTCAAGATTAGATCTAAATATAGAGTATACAAGTGGAAATTTTACTAGAATTTTTCATTTTTCTTAAAAAACAGACAGGGTAACTAACACAAATCAGTAGAGATAATGACCATTTCCAGAACTAGATGAGATATATTCTGAATATCTGTGAACATAAATAGTAGAATAAATATTTCAAGAAATGGTCTGTTTAGGTACACTTGTGAGATTGTAAATATAGCAGGCTTGCACATGCTATTAGGTACAATTTCAATTCAATATACTAAAACTAAACCTAATTTATAGACTCATAAGTCAGTGAATCATGTTTAGGATAGATTATGAAAAACCAACTGTAAAATTAGCCAAATCGTTTATTTTAGATATATCAGTGTTTTACTTAATCAAACTTATCATTATTGATTTTTAGTGATCAAAAACACAGCAGTTCAAGGTATTCAAAAAAGTCAATGATCACATATATTGAAGTGTATTTCTGAAAATTATGGATTTATTTTAGTTTTGTATATTTAAAACAGTTTCAAAGTATACAATTATCCACTGAAAGGGTTCAAATGGGTTTTTTTGTTAATCAGCTGCCAAAAGTGGGAAGCTATTAGTTGAATTAATGTCGAATAAGGTATGAAATTTCAACGTTAGATCATCCACACTTTTTCAGCAGTATACTTTCAAATGTTAAACACTGAATAACAGAAAATATTTTTGTATTGCAATTCAAAGTGTAACTCAAGTTTTGATGTCAAAGAAACTGAATTGCATATTAAAGTTAAAATTTTTTCAGATGTAACCTATAACCCAACATTCACCAATAATTTTCAACATTTTGCAGCTGGATCCAACATGCACGAATTCTAATTGAGACAAAACTTAGTAGGCAACATACATTTTAATTGAATGTATCACTGGTCATATAACATACATGTACAAAAAGTGGTGAATCCGATGACACTTGCTCAGTATTGGATGACCAAAAATATAGGTCCCCATAATAACATATAAGTCTGACAGTTATTTTTGTGAAATGCTGGCAAATCCTCACTACATTTTATTTACCGTGTCTGAAGAATATTTAGGGCAACACATGTTACCTGTAAATATTATTTTTTTTTAATTATAAACAAACTTATTTCCCATTAATCCGTTTGAAATTGAGAAAAACTAATTCATTATAACATTAAAAACAACAGTACAAAAAATAACATTTCAAAACGCTCAAAGGTGCGAACTTTGCCGCGGGCAACAACTAGTCACCAAATTTGAATTGCTAAGGAAACCTCAGAATATATCGGAATCTCATGATAAATAACGATCTAATTCTCCTGAGATATCTGATGGCAGAAGGGCAACAGGTGGTGAATGTTCTTTCAACAACCAAGTGATGATAAATCATAATGATGGTACTGTTTCTGAGAATGTTTTCTACTATCAGAATTAGCTGTAGGTATCTGTAAATGATTTGCATCATAATTCTCCAATTCTAATAGAAACTGATCACAGTGAATCTACTGATGAGTTGATAAATCGCTCAGCGATAATGGAGAGTACTGGTTCTGGCATTGACAACCTATTCCTCTGTACTGATAATTTCACACAAACGAAGCTTAGACCCCTGATTCCAGCTAACACAAGTCATTTTAAGAGTTGCTTATAGAAGGGCAGCTGATGGATATACATAGTAGTATGCAATCTTAAACTAAACTTAATTTTATACTATTGATGAAAATTAATTCATTTGAAAAATTCCTTCATGAGAAATTTTATTTCAGGTTCATCACAATTGAATGAAAAAACAAAAAAATTATCAAACAAGGATGTTCAAGATGCAATAAAAAAAATTAAGAAGAGCCAAAGGAAGACTTCCTGCAGAAGAAAAAAAGAAGTAAAATGATTATTTTATGAATTTATGAAAAATATTCTATTTTATACTGTTATTTTGATCATTTTCCGAATCATGCATGATTCGTATGTTTAATACTATGAGAAATATATTTCATTTTTTACTATTAATTGCTCATTTTCTCTATTCTGTATGATTTGAATGTTTACTTACTGTGGATGTTTCTTAAAAATTCTCAAATTAATGTCAGAACACTGGATAGGCATGGGATGCTAACAAAGTATTTATCTAAGAAGTTCAGAATATGTCCCATTTTAGAAAAATTTCATCAATATTGATGAGTTGAAAACAGCCTTGGCTGATACTCCGCCTATTCACCATATACTGGAAGTTTCTTCTTTGTTTTTGTTAATCAAAAACATTTTTCTAGAGGTGATTCCGAATCGAATGAGCTGTCGCTCATATTTTCAGAACCTTCATCTCTATTTTTCATGTTTTTGAACTTGTTGATTAGACTAAACGTTGGTTTGCTGACTTCAAACGTGGTCGTAAAGACATCGATGATGCAGAACGCAGTGGACGTCCAAATGAGGCAGTAACACCAGAAAACAAAATCGGTTTGAATGATCGAAGAGTAAAATTGGGTGAGTTAGCTGACATTGTTAAGATTTCAAAAGAACGACTTTATATTGCACGAACATTTGACTAAGAGAAAGCTCTGTTCAAAATGGGTGCTGCGAAAGCTCAATGTTAGCCAAAAACGAGAATGTTTTGATGATTCTGAGCCGTATTTGGCCATGTTGAAACATGAAAAACCGGAGTTTTTGCATAGATATGTGACAGAGGATGAAACATGGATCCATCACTTCACCCCAGAATCAAAACGATTCTCATCAGAGTGGAAAGCAACTGATGAACCTCGTCCAAAGCGCCCGAAAGTACAACAATCGGCTGGAAAGGTTATGGCCTCGGTATTTTGGGATGTGCGAGGTGTAATATCCATCAACTATCTAGAGAAGTGAACTACCATCAACAGTGGATATTATATAACGTTATTGGAGTGTTTTACAGCCAAAATTGAAAAGAAACCGTGTCACAAGTTCATCAATGAATGGAATTGGACTTCAACTTGCTCCTACATCCAACGTATTCGCCAGATTTGGCTACCAGCGACTACTGGCTGTTCGCATACCTAAAAAAAAAGCTCACCGATGAAAAATTTTGCTCGAATGAAGAGGTTATTGTTAAAACTGAGGCCTATTTTTGAGGCAAAAAAAAATCATTCTACAAAAGTGGTATTGAAATGGTAGAGCGGCACTGGAATGATCGAGTGGCTCTTGATGGAGGTAACGTTGATGAATTAAGCCAATTTTTTACGAAAAAAACGGGTTTCTTTCTCATGCCCGGGAATTTTCAGCCCATGTGTTACATACCTGATTATTACTCGGTTCACCCATATTTGAATCTTCATCTCGGTATCAAACTTTCAAACTTCCTATACTTGTAGATAATGTATTTTTATATTACAATTCATTGTCATCCACGGAAACGAATATGCCTGTAATTTCATATAATCTAAATGGTATTAATTCATGAATGCTGAACGACCATGAATTTGAAACATTGGTACAAAGGTATCAAGAGAAAAAAAGATAAAAAAGAAAAGTTTATTTCCTCCTGTTCAACATTTTAGTAACTTATTATTTCTGACTTTCTGATTTTCTATTGATTTTGCTATATGTTAAAATTTGTTGTGTTGTTCATTTCTATAGGAGTTGAAAAGTTGTCACAATTAAACTGTACGGGATATTTCAGAAGACTAGGAATTCCTGGAGGAAATCAATGAACTTTCAGTTACCTGTCAATTAATCCCCCACTTCTGTAATCTTCTCCAAATTTCTCGAAGAAAGCCATCTTTTGTGCTACAAAACAACCAGCTCTAACGGTCCAGTGTTTGATTGACGAATGATTGAATGCTTCGTTATCGATTCCTCGCTCTTCTTCCTCCTCCAAATCACCATCTTCATATTCTTCGTCTAGACCATTTTCTTCTTCACTATCAGATATATTGTTCTGGCACATCATATCATCCCGTTCATCCGAAGCCACTCTTTCTAAGCTTGACACAGTACCAAATCTACGAAGGGTTGCTACCGAACTGCTAAGTGAGTGATAGGGATGTTCTTCGGTTTCAGGAGAGTCATCTGGTGATTTTTCCTCTTCATTGATAGCAATTTCCTTATGATTTTGCTGGAAAACAGTGAGGTTGTGAACGATATTCATTTTGCGAATATTTTCGAAAATGGAGATTGGAATAACACATAAAAGTTATTAGATTTTTCAGTGTAGATGACTATGTAATGAAACTTCATCAGTTTTTTTCTGATAACAGAAAATCACTTGTTTCGACAAACTTAGTCAAAACCAGAGATTCAGTAATGCTGAAAAACGACAAATACAAATAAAGAAATTGTTTATATATTTTAGGCAATTGATTTCGAAGAGATGTTTTTATGAGGGGGATTAGATATCCAGATTTTTCAGCATCCACTTATATTTTCTCACTTCTAACATCCACAAAAAACTATATTTTATATATTTTGGATTATATAGAAGAAACATTTAATTTTCAAAAAAATCTTGTCATCTTATGCGATATTCAATATACATTGCATTTCTTTAATGTCCCCCCCTTATATTTTTTTGAACGGCTCAACTCAAAAAGTTGAAATTTGGGATAATGAAATTAATGCATGAATATTTAATTTTGAAGTGAAACTGACAGATGAAACTTTTAAGATGGCGGCTAGGCGCCATCTGGGAAAAAAATTAAACGGAAAGGGGGATATTGTAAAACATCATTTCGAAGCTCCTGACGAATACTTCAGAACCCTAGAATATGAAGTCAATATCTTCACTGACTACAAAATGGCGGAACAATCAATAATTTCCTGAAGACAAACACATTAATATCGATATTTCTAGAAATATTCCTTTTTATCTGACATATGGCAATTCCAACAACCCGATAAGGTTTGTTACTTTTTGTTTATGAAAACGTCAGTACGACAATGAACATCATTGTTCAGTTAGAATTTTCTCCTTTAGTTTTCGGTTTTACTAGTAGAAAGGTACCACGTCAACAATCTCTAAAATGGTCAATTCTCATCCATATATGTATCGTTTATTTAGCACAAGCTAATGCAGTTACAATATTAGTCTTAATCTAGGTTAAAAATTTAAATGTCACAATTAAAATTTAAAATTTAATTTGCCTATAGACTACTTTTTCCAATACTTTCTCAATAGTACAGAGCATATTGATTGGTCTGAGATCAGATGCCTTATTCGAATTAGCAACTTTAGCAATTGGTGTTATAGTTGAAATTTTTAAGATTGATGGAATGGTACTGGTTTCTATAGAAGTATTTATGACATTAATTAAGGGCATTGCAAAATTATCAAAACAATTTTTGGAAGAAAAAATTGAAGCGATATTCATTTACGGTGCGACAAGTAACTTTCACGAGACCGAAAGGATTTTCAATGAACGTTATTCGAATCGTTATATCTGTAGAAAATATTTAAGGGAACTTGTATCAAAATTCACAACTACAGGTAGTGTACATAACAAAAAGCCCCCAGGTCCTCCGTCCATTCCGGAAGAACAGCAAGTTCAAATAATTGGTGAGACGGTAGTATATACTGAACAGTCTCCTTATTCCGTCGCGAATGTTTGTGAGTTGTCTCCTTTTACTGTGTGGAGAGGAATAGGTATCATCCATACAAAATTAAAATGGTATACCAATCAATTGAAGATGGTCGGTCGGTAGCCAGGTGGTTCGACTTGAGTGCTTTGTTCACTCACTCGAATTGACTGACGTGTTGGTCGGTGGTTCAAGTCCTAGTCTGAACGATCGATTTTCACTTGCTATCGTCCAACCCGTGTTAGGAATCACACGTTACAAGGTAAGATGTCGTTAATTCTTAGCTCGCTCAAGTTTCGACTCCTGAGGGTTGTCGTTCGTAGGGGTGCGACAGCTGGTTAACAGAAAAACATATTTCAAACAGATTCTTTAAACTCTGATCGAAAGAACAGAATCCTGCGGAATCTGTTTAAAATCAATTTTTCCGTTAACCAGCTGTCGCTCTCCTACGAACGACAACCCTCAGAAGTCTAAACTTGTTCAAGATAAGGAATAACGAGGTCTTACTTTTTAACATGTGATTCCTAACACGGGTTGGACGATAACAAGTGAAAATCGATCGTTCAGCCTGGGGTTTGAACCAGCGATCAACACGGTGTTTGATTTGAGTGAGTGAATAAAGCACCCACGTTGGACCGACCGGCTACCGTTCGATCAATCATGACGGAAACCATTGAAAGACATCCTACCTATTTCCACAATATTTGTTTTAGTGACGAATGTAATTTTTTTTTAAACGGCAATGTTCACAGACAAAATTGCTGTTACTGGAGTGACACCAACCCTCACGTTTTCCGGGAAACACATACCCAATATCCACAAAAATTTACGTTTGAGCAGGAATATGGGGAAACCATATTGTAGGACCTCTATTCATTGATCAAAATTCAACATGGGAACTGTATTTGAATATGCTGGAAACTACTGTTAACCCTCTCATCACTGAAATCGTCGAAGCGAATTCTAATGAATTTGATATGGATATTGTATTTCAACAAGATGGAGCACCACCACATTGCTACAGACAAGTAAAAAACTATTTGGATACTACTTTTCACGGTTATTGGATTGGCCGTCGAGGTCCTACAGAATGACCAGCCCGCTCGCCAGATTTGACACCTTTGGACTTTTTTATGGGGTTATTTGAAGCAAAAGGTATACGAAACTGAACCTGCTTCAATATTGAATATAAGGCAGAGAATAATAAGAATTTGTAGAGATATTGGCGTTACTGTGTTCGAAAATGTTGAGCGTCAAATATTGGATAGGCTGTTCATATGTCAAGAAGCTCAAGGCAACCATTTCGAGCATCTTCTGAACTGACCTCAACTTTATTACTTCATATCATGTAGTTAAATGTCAATGTATTCAGGCAATTATTAAAAGTTCCGCCATTTCGTAGTAGTTGAAGATATTGACATTATATTCTAGGGTTGTGAAGAATTCATCAGGAGCTTCAAAAAAACCCCCCCTTCCCTTTCAATTTTTTTCCAGATTGCGCCCAGTCGCCATCTGGAAATTTCACTTCAAAATAAAGTATTCATGCATTAATTTCATTATCCCAAATTTCAATGTTTTGAGTTGACCCGTTCAAAAAATAAAAGGGGGATGGACATTAAAGAAAAGCACTGTATTTCACAACAATAATACAAGTAAATTATTCTATTTGGATAGGTGATATAATGAAAAAATAAATTGAATGAAAGTAAATTATACATTACGCCACACCCTGGGTATTACTTTATTCTTGAATCTTGTATTTATCTCTTGTATATTTTAGTGATTTTTTGTAATAAATGCCGGCCAAATCACTTAGCGCCCATTTTTGGAAATGAAAAAAATAAATTACAACTCTTTTGTTGAGTTATAGTCCCATGATTGGTTTTTAGTAGGTGAAGCTGATTGTTCTATTTTATATGGGTGCAGTCACACATAAAACTATTATTCGAAAACATGTCAAAGTGTACCTTGCAGTTGTCGTAAGGTTGCTTTGGCATTATTTCTGATATACTGAAAAGTTTAACACCTTAAAAAAGACTGGTATCAGTTTCGGAGCACACGTTTTGAAAATGATAAGGTTCTGTTAGCTTTCTGGTTTGGAGACGTCGATGTTTGTGCTTTGTTGAATTCCCCGATCAGCAGAGTAGATATAATTCAATATTTGATTTTACTAAGAGCTACAGAATTATTTATTGCAGCCTTTATTTCAGTAGAATTTACAGTACTGAAGATGACGGCCTTGATAGTTCGATTTAGCTTTCGATGAAGAAGAACACTCAATTAGATTTTCCTCTAAACCGGGAACATCAGTTTTTACTGCATCTGCATATCTATCAGTTTCATCTGCATATCAGTTTGTATCTTTGAATTGTGAATGTATGTGTTCAAAAATAAATCAACTTTCACATCAAATCTGAAATTTCATTACCATGGTACTAGAACCAAGAACCATTTTCATTTGCCCTTAGTTAGATTCAAAGTAGCGTCATATGAAATTATATATTATGTTTTTCATTTTTCCCAGGAATTCTTTGAATAACTCATTTTCATATTAGTTTCAGAGTATGACCCTGTCTTCCCCTTTTCTTTTCTTCTTCAATTTGTATTTTGTATTGACACTTCTTTATTGCTATCATTGAGTTTTCACTTCTTGTGTGATATAAGGTGCTTTCCATTTGATATTAAAGTAGGTCACGGTCGATAATGATCGGTGAAAGTGCATTTTTTTCAGCGTTGAAAGGACGGATTCCTTTTGATTCGTTGGTTAGAGTTTACAGATATCATGTTTTTTCCTTTCCCCCTTGGTGTTCATGAGAGACAGTTCGATAAATTCAATTATAACTAAAAATGTGAGAATGATATCATCAATCAGTTCAATGACTCTTTCAATTTGCAAAAATTACTGTCACAGCCTAGTAGTTCAGTCGAAGTCAACTAAATCCGATTCATCACATAATGGTTGGTCAGTTACTTCGAATGGGCAAGGTCGACGTCGGGAAGGGTAGCTTGTGATATCATCTAAAGCACGTTGGACGTTGTTCACAGTTGGTGCCTGAGGGAGCAGATGTTTGTCAACCCCAGCAAAACTGTGATAATCCCCTTCACCAAGAGGAGAAAATTGGACGATCTATTAACGCCACTTTACCTCAATGGTGAGGTGAACGGAGATGAAATATCTTAGCATTGTCCTTGAAAAACACTCACCTGGAACGCTCACTTGGAAGAAGTTTCACACAAAGCCAGACTGCCCCTATGGATATGTCGAAGGTTTTGTAGTAAAAGTTGGGGTTAAGGTCCCCAACAAATACATTGGAATTATGTGATGATTTTTAGACCAATGATCACTTATGGTGCAATTGCCTGGTGGCCGAAGGCTTTACAGAAAACAGTCCAGGCGAAGCTCTCTGGCTTACAAAGACGACAGGCTTGTTTAGCCATCAGTGGTGCCATTAGTACCACATCGTCAGCGGCCATGGAGATCTTTCTAGATCTACATCCTCTCTTCATTTTTCTGAAGAGAGAGGCTAAATGGACTGCATATAGACTTGTGTACATTGCCAATTGCACAAATCAATTCAATGCAGAGTGCAACAGACTGTTGTTCGACACTGGAAGTCACAGCATTCTGGAAATGACCTCTGACTTTATGCCTCCAACTGTCAACTACGAACTGCCTTATAAAGTACTGTTCCCGAGTAGATAGTTGTTGGTTCACAGATGGATCAAAAACACCTTTCGGTTCTGGTGAAGGACAGAGGATAACAACCTGCTTATGACCCTATGCGACTGTATTTCAAGCAGAAAATCACGCTCTTGAATTGTGTGTGGAAGAATCCAACCTCATACACAAGTCAATAAAAATATTCTCGGACAGTCAAGCGGCGTTGGAAGCTGTAGGCTCCTACCGAGCAATGTCAAAATTTGTAGCAAAATGGCCAAAAACGACTCTCCTCGTTAGGAAGACTTAACAGATTGTCTATCTCAAACAATGTGTGTCACCTCTGTTTAGAAAATGGTGAAACAGCAGAGTACATACTTTGTGCCTGCCCTGCTGGGGACCGAATCAGGTTTTTGGAGTACTCTTACCATCTGACCTGAAAGACCACTCAGAATACAAACTGATCGGCTTCGTTAAGAAGCTGGGTTTATTTGGTCGAGTGTGAATATGTGTGAGCCACAAGAAACCCTTGCGAGTTGCGGTGGAGTCCACTCACTTTGGACCTAACCTAACCTACTTCGAATGACTAATCGTGTGTATCCTAAACGTTACCTAATAATAATGGTTTGTTTTTTCTTGATTGAGGAAATTTTTCTTATGGGTGTACAGGTCTCTTGACTTCAGCAAGTTTCGTTTCAGAAATCCTTCAGTCATATCGGCATGCGTCAAAATCAATTTTTGAATCCTTGTGTGACGACCTTATTTGACAACTTTCATTGTGGGGTGAATTTCTTCATTATTTATTGTATCTCTCGCTTGTTAATCAACAGCCTGTGTGAAATAGGACACACATACATTTATTAGTCTTTCTCCGCTGCTGCAATAGATGGATTTCTCGTTTTGTGTCGAGGGAGTTGGTAATGATAACTGGTTTTTCTTTATGTAGTAGGCAACCTAAACGAAGAACTAGCCATAGTAATATATTCTGCAGCAGATCCATCATTTGTTTTCGAAGTATCTGTGTATATTTGAGTAGAGTCTGGATACTAATTGATTCATAGTATGACAGGAATTTTGTTTGATGATGGTGTTGTTTGTTTCAGTTTCATCAAAACCAGCGAAACTTATATCGCATTTAAATACTGTTCAGAAAGGTGGAATTGTTATGGAATAGACTCGCTTGAATAAAAACAGTAGTAGCAGCATAATTTAGAGGCTCAGAAAAAGCTGCCTATTGTGTCTGTGGAGCTGTAATCAAGTTTCGAACCTATCAGGATTTTCACTTCGAAATAAAATTGTGACTTGTTTAAGAAAATTCAGACATCACCGTGTATTCGGATGAGAATAATATAAAAGTATATGAGTACACGAAGTATTTCGTTTGGATGGGAATCCAAAAATATGCAAACACAGTCAAAACCGGTGTTCTCGGTCTAGTCGAAAATCTAATTGGCGATTATTCATTGCCGATTGCTAATATAGATCTGCTTCAGACCGTCACCTCCAAATTCAGTAACAGTAATATGATTCGGTGGTGAAAATAAACTGTTTACCCGAATTATTTTAATTTTATTCGAGTCAAATTCAGAACTTTTCAATATCCTATTTTGCTTGACCAATCAATAGGAACAAATCTGTGTATCTTTACTGAGTTTGCTTGTATAGCGATAGCGAATCAGTAGCAACTAGTAGATGGATAGATGAATATATATTTCATTTGACTACGTAACTCAAACAATAATATTCCTGAAAGAATGTCTTACATTTTTTTCATCCATATAACTTGCGGCAAAATTATATTGTTCTTCGATTTCCGGTATGTAAAAGGTCTCATGCATTTTTATCGTACATTCAGACTGTTAATGATGAGTATAAATCAATCTACCTAGGTACGAGAGCTTCACAAGAAACCCCAGAAATTCACTTCATTCATTTTGTGTTTGTCTTCATGAAAAAAGTCCAAATCGTTGTTCGTAGCCAACTGTTCAATTGCACAGCATCTAATTTGATTATTGTTCATCATCCATTTGCCTAACACAACTGTTGTGGCCAACAGTATCACAATTCACACATTCAGGTTTACTCAAAGCAACCATTTTTACACCTTCGACATAGTTTTGAAGGAGCAACACTATCGTTGTGTTGAACGTGTCGGCGTCATGATAATATTCTGTAATATGTAACAATGTAAGTCGTAGAAATGTTTTTCTTGTATACTTTTATTAATACTTGTACAGACATAATTAGCTTTAGCATTTCGAAATAGATATAGTCCCAATATTACATCGTAGAATTGCACGTCAATTAATACGTGTCTCGCAAAGAATCGGTTTCTATATCTGCTTTAGAGTTGATTGGTTTTATTCCCAGTTGTTTCTGCATTATCTGTTTGATTTTGGTGCATTTTGCTTCCATTATCAGTTCTGTAAAATATGGATATACCTTCATTAAAATATGCAGGAGACATGGGACACCACTAGAACAATTTTTAGCAATACAAAGCTGACCAGAGGAGTCTCAATATTTATGGAAAATGTAACTTGTTCAAAACTGAAGCTGATTCCGATGAGTTTTCTCGAAATTTGTTATTTGCACGTTGGAAAATTTTTCTTTGGAATCGTCAATCTGTGGAAGTGGAGTTATTTTTTGGGATATGTTTCATTTAGAAGTATTTGTATCATTGGATTTTTCTGATATTTCCGCAGTGGTTGTTGGACAAGTAGTTGGTCTTATAGTTGGGGGTGGGTTTATGGTTTTCTGTCAATTTGAGATTGCAGTTGGAAGAATGACTGGATATCCCCTGCTATGAATATCACCGTTTAAAGAAATGATAATTGGGTTTCAGAGATGAAAATTGAGTGACGAAAATTGATGATAAGTTTCCAATTAGGATTGGAGAAGCCTATTCTTGAGAATGGGTTAAGTAAAAGAGAAACTCTTTGTTCCGATTAGGAGTTGTACCCTGCCCTTTGGCGTTACTTTTTGTCGAGTTTCAATAAAGAATTTGTATTGATTTCATTTTCAGTTCGTCAATGAATACGTTCATTATTATTGTCATTATTTTGACGGTATAGGGTTTATCATATTTCTTAACGCCACATACATTAGACATGATCAATCTTTAACTGGGGGTCAATATCTTGCTTAGCCTTGCTTAGCTTTTTTCAGTACCCTGTGAGGGGATACATATATTTTGATTTTCCTTTTAACGACCACGTTGAATATACGTGTTATGATTATAACTATTATTACTGATAAAAACGGATACTCTGCAAACAAAAATTGTACGCCTGAAAGTTGATGGAAGCAGGTGATGTGAAAATTTCTAGTACGTTTCTGCTTTTTGAAGTAATTTTTTCATAATCCTAATTCCTGCAATTTTTTTTCAAATGAAATTGAAAAGACCGTTTCTTTGTTTAACTAAACTGTTTATACCTTTCATCGAACTATTTTTTCGCACAACTTGGTTCGAATCGTGAATTACTTTGGCCGAAATTATGGATCATCTTCTGTGAATCAAACTCAAATTTTGCGAAATGTGAATTAGACTATTGCACACCTGCACCAGGATTTGAGGGTGTTTTCGATCTACCTGTGAATTAATATCAATCTCTTCTTGATACTTTCTCATTCTAGGGAATTCAATTCTCTCTACTGTGATATTAGGAATAATTGTAGAGTTCGGTATTATCACTTTATTCGTCATAAAAACGTGTCATAAAAACGCGGTCATCATTTACTCAGTCCGATACCAAATGGAATATCTATTTCTGGCATTAGCCAGTAACTTCGGCAACATTTATTTCTCAACACAAAAAAAAGTTTATGAAAATGTCCACATTATAATGTTTATGTATATCTTCATGTAAAATAATCTTACCAACTAGCAGGAAAGTTTGCCAGTCGTCTTCATCACCTACATTTTCATTTCTGTCTGCAGTCTCTAGCTGAGAGTTACTAGTTCTATTACTATTACAGTCATTGAAATTTTGTACACTACCATTTACTGTTCCATTACTACTAAGGCAATTTTTATGGCATTGTCGACATACCGGTACTGTTTCTGGCACTAATGGACTCGACCTAACAGTAACCTGAAACATAATGAGAAATTGTATGTTCATTATATGCATAGCTCCAAAGCATTATAAAGAAACTCATGTAGGTGTCAGTTTTGAAGTGATTCATTTCATAACCGACTTCATTCGGGTAGGTTTAAAAAAATGATATTCAAAATATTTACTAATTCAGTTCTATCACCAAAATTCGTGATTCCTGGAAATGAGAATAGTTGAAGGATAGAATTAGCTCTTTATCGAAACATAAAAAATGTAAATCCTTTATTAAAAATTAAATATGTTATGATAGATATATAGATAGATACTATATTTGTCTACGTGGAAAACATTTTCAGCAAGTGACAATACATGAACATATAGAACATAACAGTTGATGTTTGAACAACTGATTGGAAAGAAGTGGCAAGTAAAACAAAATATTGGATTTCCAGTCTTTTTCAATAGGTTATTGTATGTATGGTATTTGAAGAAGCTAGAGAAGCACAGAGATTAGTTGAAAAGCTCAACAATGAATATAACTCATTAGACTTGAAAAAAATCAAGAAAAATGAGAATTTATACATTCTGTTTTTTACCACTTTCATTTGTAACTACTGTAGTTTCATCCTATTAGGATATTTTCAAACTCATTAGCTGGAGACCTCAGAATTGGGCAAATAGTTTTTCATTCATTGACCTTTTTATTAGACTATTAGGGACTCACACCTGGCAAAAACTAAAATTTGGTTTAGTTCATATCCAATTTTCTGTTCACTTCATTAGATGACAACACTATTATTAGCAGTTAGATTGAGCAGTCATCTATTTCTGTAGTGATATTGTCTATACAATATTTTTATAATTTTTCACACTCAAAAAATAATCTACGAGAATAAAATGATTGCAATCATTTTTAGTAATGACAAGAAAAGTTCCGAAACATATAAGTGGTCATTGAAGGCCTTGAACATATCAAGATAATTGGTATTTATATTAAACTTACTTGACTTTCAGTAGTCGTGCTTTTGGACGGACTATGTTCATGATCTGATAAAATAACCTCTTCGCACATATCATACCCGTCTTTGATAATATCGGGTTTGCTTTTCACATTTCCCTGAGAGTCAATCAGCTGTAACTCCTCGGATCTCTTTATAACCATCTCTCTGGTCCATTCTTCGTACATTGGTTCTAATTCCGGTGTCCCTAATATACTTTCACCATTCAGTTGGCCTTTCATCCACTGCTCCAGATGGACGGCATTATATTTACCGTTGGAATTGGTTTTTCCCAATTGTTTGCATTTGAGCTCTATGAGCGCATCGATTTGTTTTTGAATTTCTTTGTTTTCGTTATTTTCGCTTTGACAGTTTTGATTTAGGTTTTGAGGAGTTTGCTGAAAAAGTGGTATTATTAAAGGTGTACTTTTTTGTGGACGAATGGCGGCTGTTTTTGGACCAACATACATGCATATCTTCAAGTTAACTCAAGGAAACCCATACCTTTCCGTTCAGATTTGTTTGTTTCATCAGATGATTTAGTGAAAATTCCATTGAACAGTTTGGGTCGAATTGTATATCTAGAGTGAAACAATGACAGTGAGCAACATAAGGAATTGGATTTTGGTTATCACTTTGAGACCAAGTTTAAAGAATATGATTTGAAAAGGGAATTATTGCAATTTCATGATCATATCACGTAATAGATTTTTTGCTATTTTTGCCAAAAAACCAAAGCATAAAATCAATTTAGATTTCAGAATTACATGTTATGCTGTTCAGTTTTTATGTTATCATTTGAAATGTTCAGAGATGCACTTTCTGGCCTGGATGTCTAAATGTCACCTGAAAAATTAGAAGAACGTGTCATGGCTGATGGATGCAGTCAGTACCTCACAGTCATGGAGGGGCGCCTTTTTGAAACGTGCCACGGAAAACATACCTACCAATCCACACATTTGTATTGCTTAGCTACTTGACAATGGTAGTCGTAGACTGCTAGCAAATCAAGTCCCTACTAGATTGGACAAAGTGTACCGTGGTTTGTTAAACTTGAAGAGGACCGTTCTTCACAGGTCCTATTTGCAGAATAGTGTACCACGTATCTAAAAACTCATAGTATATTGGAAACAAGATAAGATACGTCAGTGAATATAGGTAAGTAGGTAGATCTGAAGTGATCACCCAGTGCAATCTGCGTAGTTTATTGGGGCTTACACCTATTCAACACGAGAAAATCAATCTTTATTTAGTAAGTTAGCCCGGCAAGAGTAGAACTCTGCCAAACGTCGTAAACCTGATCCAGTCCGGGGCAGAGCAAATACAGAGTACATGTTTTGCTACCAGGGTCTGAATTTCTTTCAAAGTTGACAGTTCATGACACATTTTCCTCAATCTAGTGAGGGCCTGATTGTGCGTGTATATAAGCAAAGGGTTGCAATGTCAGACTGAAGAAGGTTATTCAGGAGAACTAACGCTATCTAGCAATTTAAATATAATTTCAGTAAAGAAAGGGAAGTTAATGAGAACTGATTAATGATAAACTAGTACCAATGAAAAACTACTTAGAGAGTCCCTGACTTCTAAAGAGCAAACAAGAAAATACCGGATATAAACTCTCAAGAAAGGGAAACAGTGTTTATCTAACATTTAGCATTTACCATGCAAGGCCAAAAATTCAAGGAGAAGGCGATGACGCTTGATTTTTTTTCATATCACCCAATGAAGGGACAATTTCAATGAACTATTGTTACAATACTCAGGTAGGATATAATTAATAGAAAAACACATTACCACAGAATATCTGATAGATGATTTTAATCATGATAGGTTTTTGTAACTTAGTAAGAGGAAATTTGTATGTTGATCCAAAAACCTACTAAAACCAAGGCAAAAAGGTTATTAAAAAGCAAAATGTAATAACTTAAACTTTATTTGCAAATATATAAATTACATATCTCTTCATAACAATATAAATAATTTCAGTCCTAATGAAAATAAAAAACTATGTAAGGTCAGTTTACTAAAATGTACTTGAACAATTTTAGATTTACTGAAGGTACTCATATGAAATAGGCAGTCGTTTTGGTACATGTGTGTTTGCAAAACAAAAACACCGATGGCACGCTGTTGATTGACACGATTTTTGAAGAATAGTCACAAGCATTTCCACTGATAATTAAAATAGTTTTTCAAGTCAACTTGAATTTTCGAGGATGCCATATGTTTATGGAATATTCCACTTTTTCTGCAAATGAAAATATGGCCCAGGAAATAGAAACGTGAACTTATAAATTTTAATAGAAAACATCAAGCGAATTGATTTCATTCTTCATAAGACTTTTTATTTATTCATTTTTAGAAAAATTCACCACTCTGAATTAGTACTAATTTTTCAACACCTATTCGGGAAAAATGGTTCATTACGTCTCCATTATGGTGTAGAGGTAGAAAGCTAAGAAGCTTTTTTTCTAAAAAATCAATCTCTTTTAAATTTGAATTACCATTAACCCATAGCAAAGTCTCAATCAGACTGTTCGTTTTTTTCCCAACATACTTCACAAATCACAGAGAATTAAGAATATTATTAATTAATGAAAAATCATTAGTATACAAAATATCTCTATCAAATTTGACAAATAACAATTTAAGCGTGCTCTGTCATTATAACATCATGTTCTGCTACATTTATTTTTGTCAAGAAAATATTTGCCTAATTTTTTTTACGAATTTAATTTGGTTATCCTTGCCCTAAGATGAAAATATATCTTTTCTGAAGAGTTTTATCAGGCATAGAAAAGGTTTGGAAATAATATGAATCCTGTCGAAAATCAGCGTTGGTGGTAAAAACTATCGATGACTACTTGTGAGGAACGATCTTCAAGAAAGCTGGAAGCCTTGAGCAAAAACTATTCAACAAACTTTTTCATTTTCGTTGTAACCCAAGCGTGCTATCCAGAAATCAAAATATATTGGAAAGTAGGATTCCTATGGGATTTGGTTGATGAAATCATTACAAATAAAATCTTGAAAGGTTTTCCATTGTTGAAACATGAAACATTGATTCGCATTTACCAGAAAAATAAAATTCTCAATGTTGTTTGGGTCTGTTTGTGAACAATCTCACGAAAATTTGTAGAACTTTTGAAGAGGACATAGATCGCAAATATAAGAAAAATATTGTACAAAACATTTCCTCTGTGAGATATCGCGAATGTTCACAAATAACATCCTTGGCGACCACGATTCTCTACTATCGAAGAAAATGTATCTTTTGAGAAAAATGAAAATTCACCCTATTTTTTGAACGGACAGTGTATGTTCAATTTTTTTTATACCACGAAGGTGTCATGGTTGAGGAGGGTTCGTATTCTGAAAGATTACAATACTGCTACCAGACTGAGTCATGACCGGTGGGAGAAATCGTCATTATTCATTTCAAATTGCCCTAACTTTTTGACAGTAAACTTTTGGTACTTTTCATGAAGAAACCTAATTCCCACATCTTTTCCAAGTAGAAAAAGGACACCTCAACAACGCTGGAGGTGATCGTTTGCGAGATATTTACAATTTTTTATATCGGTGCATATTACTTTATAGCCAAATTTGATTTCAATAATTTTTGTCACTTTCTGCTTGCAAATTAAGTTAATTAAATCGAGTAGGATATGAAAGTTTGTTTATAAAAATAGAAGTTCGCCGTCACATTTTTAACTATTAATTGACAAATTCACAGTTGAAATGGCTTATATGGTTTTTGCATACAGCTTGGATGACGGAAATTCAAGAGAAGCCAGACACATCTATCAGAAAAGGTATCCCCAACGCGTGACTTTTGCGAATCTTTTCCGGCGACTTTCCGAATCTGGAAGCTTTGAAACAAATTCTGCAGTAGGACGGCTACGGACTACAAGAACTGTAGAATTGGAGGAGGCGGTTCTCGAAGAAATTAATGAACATCCAGAGACAAGTACAAGAAAAATCAGTCAAACTCTAAATGTGAGTCTCATGACAGTTTACAGAATTCTAAAGAAACAGCAATTATATCCTTATCATATTCAGCGTGTCCAGGTACTTACGCTACGTGATTTCCAACCACGTATCGAATTTGCTCAATGCTTTCAAATAAAAGTCGAACAACATACACAAACATCGAAAATCCTCTTCACAGATGAAGCTAATTTTTCAAGAAATGGTATCATGAACTTTCATAACAACCACATCTGAGCGATAACGCAAACTCATTTCCAAGACAGATTCTCTTTTAATGTATGGGTAGGCATAATTGGGGATTATTTAATTGGGCCATATTTTCTCCCCTTCCGTTTGAATGGAGATGCTTGCCTAAATTTTTTGGAACACGAGCTTCTCCAACTCATGGAAGATGTTTCCATTGCTCTCCGAAATCACACTTGGTTTATGCACGATGGTGCTCCTGCTCATTTTAGTGTGATAGCAAGAAATTTTTTAGACGTAGCGTATCCCCAATAATGGATAGGAAGAGGAGGCACTGACCATTGGCCCCGAGGTCACCGGACCTCAATTTCGTCGNGTGACGTTCGCGTCTCCAATCAGGCGAATGCCTCTTTTCTGAATGGAATCCAGCAGCTTCAGGGTATGCTTAGGGCCGGAGCTCCATACATGAAAACAATACTCCAAAGAAGGTCTCAGATGAACTTCATGAAATATTAAAATTTTCTGAGGGGTGTTCTGAGGTTGCTGAGGTGAGGTTCGGTTTCGGAGCAGAGTTAAAATCTATTGAAAAGCAGCCTAAAATGGCGTCCAAATTTGTATTATAATCGAAGCATTTTTGCAACTTGGAGAATTTTCAAGTTATCCATTTGCTACTAACATATTCATATAATTCGTAAAAAATACATTTCCGCTCCCAGCTCAGAAGCCGAAACCACCTTTTTTTCAATTCGTCAACGCTTTTTTATGGACATAACGAAAAACCTGCTGTTTTTTTCTCCATCGAATAACGAATAACTTTCAAGGGTTATAATGACATAACAAGAACTGACCGATACTGAAAATCTATTATAACGTATTCAAGAAACACAATACACCTGAAAAAGCTAACGTATAGCCAAACACATGTCCCGGTTTTGTAAAATTTTGAGTGGAAATATCTCACTGAAATGTGTTTTTTGAATACATGATTACAAATGATTCTATTCAATCTCTATAAAGATACCAGCAAAGTTTCCTGAATAATGCAAGTGAAGTTGTAAGAAAAGGTTCAATATTCATTTCAAAATGGAAATAATACATTCGAATCTTGTTAAAGGACGGCGCAGTCAAATTTATTGGTAGTTAGTTACTATATAAATTTGTAATCAATAATACGCTTTCATACCAAGATAGTTCTTTAGTTTGAGTGCATACAAAAGAAAGTTCCATTATTATTACAATTATTTATGTCTCATGTTTTTTTCACCAGTTACTCTGGAATAAAGAAATTATCAAAACTGGTTCAGAATTGCCGAAAATATGGAATTTTCATTTGAGTGCCGCAATTTTATGTCATTTTTTTAGAAGCGCGAGCTCAGAGCCGCTATCCCCACCCCTGCGCCCGTTTCAAATCGATTTTTTGAAAAAAAAATTGTGGCATCATGAATTCAATTACTTTACTTGTTTTCTTGTGAACTTCAGCTGTTAATGTTCATATATAAGGAAATGATGAATCAAAATGAATATTTCGACTCGTTATTGAGCTAGAACATTATTTTATTACCAGTTACAAGAATATGTTGGTGACATATTGATATTTTGAAAAATGCTCTCAAGTTATTTACGAAACACACGATACGAAAATAACATATTTTTTGGTTCAAGAAGGTCATATATTTTAGGCCTTGAAGACATAAATCCACTGAACTGAACCCTCCCTGGGATGCACCTAGAAAGTCAATTTTAACGATACATTTTTTGCGAACATTCGCAAAATCTGGCACAAATTAAATTTTTTGGTAATTTTTTTTGTGTTCTCGAAGACATATTCATTCCCAGACTTAGGTTCTTCAAGTAACATTTTTGCGAAATGTGAAATATTTAAAATTTGTGTATTTTTGTGATTTTGGCCAGTTTTTGGTCGGATTCACTCATAGATGTTCCCCCAGTTTGAAATGGAAAAATCATGGGTTGAAATCTGCTATTAATTATTTTGAAAACGGTCTTTTTTAGAAGTGTAGGAAGGTCCTGCCTTTCAACGTGCTTAGAAGTGAGATTACGTTAATTACATGAAAAATTTGCTTGTGGTGAATTTGAATTGCAACAACTGGATTGAGAGATTTGAAAATAGATTATTTTGTAGTTGTTACAATTGAATTCATTTGCAAAAATAGAAAGGGAAAATGCTTGTTGACTGATCCTTCAATAACTATGAATAAATTCAAGTGTCACTCTTTTGGGACAAGCCGTCAATACTCAAACAGCTCATGTCGTAGTCGAACTGGGAAATATCCCACGGCTCGTCTCCAAAAACGAAACAGTTGTTTTCGTCAACGTGTCCACCGGTATTTGAACAAACCCCGGTACTAGGAGTCAGAATAGCAGATGGAGAAGACGGTTCTTCGGGAAAAGCTTGTCTTGGCACCGGCAACAAGCTGGCCTCTGACGTGAAATAGGACGTGAATGCTTGTGAGTATTCGGAGGAGGAATGGGAGGAGACCTGAGCGCTGGGAGTATCTGGAGTCTTATCAACGGATATCTGGTTGGGAATTCGGTGGAAACTGTCGAGTTCGGAGGACGTTTGGGAAATCCTGGCGCTGGGAGTGTCGGGAGTTTTGTCTAGGGAGATTTGGGTTTGTACGTGTGGTTGGTTGATGTCTAAATTTTCGCTGACGAGACGCACCTGACGACGTATCGAAAACGACTCTGCAGACTGTAAGGTGACCACGGATGAAGTTATTGGAGCTTCGGGGGATTCTAGTGGAGAACTAACTGAGCTGCCGTCCATGCCTGAGTTCAATTGAAAGCTGCGTGCGCAATAATAAACTAACGTTAATGTACTGAATGATCGTAGTTGCTTAGGTTAACAAGATATTGTGATTTATTTTAATCAAAATAAGCCAACAGGATGTAGGTTAGTGAACTTCAATTTACTTGAATGAAAAGTTTGGAGAACAAATCGAGGTCCTTAGGAAAATTTGTGGAGCAGTATTTGTTCTATAAAATATTCCCAATTCAAAACTTGTCAATTTATTATCACATTATAATTTTGAAAAATAAAATGATTTTCATAATCATTGAGTGTAAATTCCCAGGAACGTAGATAACTGTATCAAAAAAAATTAAAAAATGATCAAAGAGCTCTAGTTTCATGATTGAAGGTTGGTTAGATTAGTGTTGAACATAACCAATAAACCTATGTCTTTTTCAATGTTTCGAGAATTAATATATGTATGTACACAGTGCATTTCTTTATTGTCCCCTCCCTTTTATTTTTTGAACGGGTCAACTCAAAGAATTGGAATTTGATATAATGAAATTAATGCATGAATACTTTATTTCGAAGTGAAATTGACAGATAAAACTTTCAAGATGGCGACTAGACGCCATCTGGAAAAGTAGGGTATTATGACAAATCAGTTTGAAGCACCTGACGGATACTTCACAACCCTAGAATATGATGTCATTATCTTCAACCACTACAAAATGGCGAATAATTGCCCAAATACATTGACATTTAATTATATAATATGAGGTAATAAGCTTGAGGTCATTTCAGAAGATGCTCGAAATAGTTGCCTAGAACTTCTTGACATATGAACAGCCTATCTGATATTTTACGCCGAACATTGTCGAACACAGTAACGTCACTATTTATACAAATATTTATTATTCTCTGCCGTATATTCAATATTGAAGCAGGTTCGGTTTCGTACATCTTTTGCTTCAGATAGCCACATAAAAAGAGTCCAAATGTGTCAAATCTAGCGAGTGGGTGTGCCATTCTGTAGGACTTTGACGGCCAATCCAACGAACAGGAAAAGTAGTATCCAAAAAGTTTCTTATTTGTCTGGAGTAATGTGGTGGTGCTCCATATTGTTGGAGTACAATATCCATTTTGAATTCATTAGGATCCGCTTCGATGTTTTCAGTGATGAGAGGGTCAACAGTAGTTTTCAGCATATTCAAATACAGTTCCCCTGTTGAATTTTGATCAATAAATAGAGGTCCTACAATATGGTTTCCCAATATTTCTGCCCAAATGTTAATTTTTTCTGGATATTGGGTTTGTGTTTCCCGAAAAACGTGAGGGTTGGTGTCACTCCAATAACGGCAATTTTGTCTGTGAACATTGCCGTTTAAAAAAAATGTCACCAAAACAAATATTGTGGAGATAGGTAGGATGCCTTGCAATGGTTTCCGTCATGATTTCGCAAAATTCTGTTCTTCGATCGGGGTCATCTTCAGTTAATTGGTGTACCATTTTAATTTTGTATGAATGATACCTATTCTTCTTCAAAAGTCTCCACACACTAGAAGGAGACACCTCACAAATATTCGCAACGGAATAAGTAGATTGTTCAGGATATACTACCATATCACCAATTATTTGCACTTGTTGTTCTTCCGGAATGGACGGATTACGTGGGGGCTTTTTGTTATGTACACTACCGGTAGTTGTGAATTTGGAATATTTTCTACAGATAGGATGATTCGGAAAACGTTCATTGAAAGTCCTTTCGTTCTCGTGAAAGTTACATGTCGTACCGTAAATAAAAATCGCTTCAATTTTTTTCCAATGGACGAGAATCAACCATTTTAGAGATTGTTGACGTGGTACCTTTACACTTGTAAAACCGAAAACTAAATGAGAACATTCTAACTGAACAATGATGCTCATTATCGTACTGACATTTTTTTTCGTTTTCATAAACAAAAAATAACTTAACCCTCTTTATCGGGTTGTTGGAATTGCCATATGGCAGATAAAAAAAAATTTCTAGAAATATCGATAATAATGTGTTTGTCTTCAGGAAATTATTAAATGTTCCGACATTTTGTAGTAGGTGAAGAAGATATGCATTGCATATTTGAGGCATGTGAAGTATTCGTCAGGAGCTTCCAAATGATGTGTCACAATACCCCCCTTTCCTTTTAATTTTTTTCCCAGATGGCGCCCAGTCGCCATCTTGAAAGTTTCATCTGTCAATTTCACTTCAAAATAAAGTATTCATGCATTAATTTCATTATCCCAAATTTAAATTTTTTGAGTTGACACGTTCAAAAAATAAAAGAGAAGGGGGACATTAAAAAAATGCATTGTATAGTATTGACCAAATTTGTTGGACAATATAAAAATGAAAACTTGTAATATGTTGAAAAGACTTATGAACTGTAGAAACCTACAGTTACCCATCGAGATATTTACAGTTTCATATGTAAAATCATCAAACTCATATTATTCATAAAAAAAAGCAATGATTTGGGCAAATTCATTAAAAACAATGAAACTTAAATCGAAAACTCACAAAAATCAGGATCAACAAAAAAATAATCCAATAATTCACTAAATGACCAGTTAGATGTTAACCTTTCATCACTCCTTAACCTCCTAAATCATTAATTGCAAATATGTAATATAACTGAAGGCATCTTTGTGAAATTACTCTGGAGGGATTTTCTATATTAAACAAACTACCTGTTTATTATCAGGCTACCCTATTATAATAAACACCTCATTCTATTTAACTAATTTAAAACTACCATAAATATGTTTACATTTACTGAATACCATTTTTGTTTGGAAAAACTATAGGAATAGCGAAACGCGTCACATATTACAAGTAGTAGTATATTGTGGATATTTAAAAAACAAGTATTTTTCATTTGATTCCTAGAACTCACCAATATAGTGTATTTTTCGGAAATCATATGATACTATAATCCTTTTTATTTATATATTTGTTCATTGAATATGAGTTTATTTCAGAATATTGTGTTTTTTGGATGCATTTTAAAGGTGGTACTGAATTTCTTCATTGAAACTTTTAGAATATAAAAGAAACTATTTATTTCTCAAGCTAACGTGTGATTCCGTGTTAGGAATCACACGTTAAAAGGTAAGACCTCGTTAATCCTTAGCTCGCACAAGTTTCGACTTCTGAGGGTTGTCGTTCGTAGGGGTGCGACAGCTGGTTAACGGAAAAACATATTTTAAACAGAAACAGATATCATCTAGAATTGAATTTGAGGTACTGACGAGGAGCAATAGCCTTGTGAATCTGATCACAAGGCTATTGTGAAGTAGAGACACGCCTGAAGGAGTCATTGTATGGCGAAACACGTGTTGCGTTTTTGTAAAATTGTTCAGTGAAAATCTCACAATGAAGTGTTTTTTTAATACATCTAATCATAAGGCTCTTTTAAAAAAGAATAATTTGATGATACTAATAGCAGTATTGATACTTTGAGGGAATTGCTATCGACTCGACTTGAAATATGGAAAAACTACAAGTTCCAACATAATGTTTGTTATCAGATTAATTAAGCATTTGAAATATTCCGAGGAATAAGAGAGTTTTTTCATGATATATACTTGACCTTTCCTTTTTATGAGAGTGATATCTGAAAAAGACTAGTTATTATTGTGTTTTGTTTCAACAGTGAATAATATTGGCTAAAGGCTAGAAAAGAGGGATATTTGTAATGGAGTTCGAATATGAGGGGCATACATTTTAGAAAGACGGTTTTACATAATCTATTCGATTCAAGTTGAGTAATACGTGATATTTTTATTAGTGATAAATTTTGTTATATAGTTCAATTCAAATATGATCATTTCAGAATAATTACTTCTTGTTTGAATCTCTAGAAATATTCGTGAGTGATGTGATAATATCTCTACAATTTTGAAATAATTTTTGGTGCAATAGTTATCGTTTTCGGAGGCATACTTCAGAAGATTGCATATAAGTGAATGTTCTTGTCGCAAGATTATGGAAATGAGTTCATTACAACTTTTAAGAATGTAATGAATTCCTCTATTACATATAATATTTTATAATTTGAATTTTCTCAACATGTTACGATTTTTTCTAACCTCCAAAGGCATTGAAATATATTAAAGAACGTCTTAAAAAACAATATTGGTATTATATACTTTGATCCAACTTCAAACTTCAGTCATAAACTAATAGCCTATTTCTCAATTAGATACAGTCACATTTTGCTAACTCAGTTCCTGGGAATTGGCAAACAGTGTCTTTTTGAAAACAATTAATTATTTGACTATCATGGGGTTTTTTCTTTTCATCTGAAGAATTTGGGAAATTGTTCAACCAATCAATAATGCTTATTTGTTCAATAACAAAATGAATGAACCTAATAGCTCGTTCAATTAGGGTACAGGATATGATCACGACATGTCAGATAACCAAAAATAATACCTTGATTTTTGTTGTTAGATTTTTTCAAAGTTTCAAGAATTTATTTGATTCATTTTTTTTATTTTGAAAAGTTGAAGGATATTATTTTCACGATCTGTCAGTACATCAAGACTAAAGAATATTCTACAAACTATGTAGATTATTTGAATAAACTCACATAGATCTAAAAATATATCTTGCATGCAAAACTCTCAAAATATTGTTAACCAGAGAGATGACTTTTAGCAAAAATGTTTGAAACATGAACTACTATTTTGAATTCGACTCACCTCGAATCATATTTATATTCAGGGTAGTAACGCATATATAGATTACATTTCGGAATTTTGATGAAAAAGTTATCTAATTTATTAGAAGTTCCCTACCTATTTTTTCCATCATCAACTTAGAAGCGCTCTAAAGCACGATTTGCAAATTGTTTAATGGTGATAATGGCACTTTCAACATTTTTCTCAAAATGTAGAAAGTGCATTTGATGATGATTTGTTGCCAACATGAATTTTTCATCGAGATTCGAAAATATATCGACAAATGTATAATATCAAATGAATGTTAATAAATATTGAATATTAGTAGTACGATGTTCTATTATCATCGCTATTGTCATCTTTATTTTCTCTTCCGATGAAGTTTTCAATAAAAGTGGAGATTATTTTCTATCATATTCATTTCAAGAATATATTATAACGTAATATAAAATGTGTGGCATATGAAAAAAATAGGATCGAGTATATGCGAAGACAGCTTTTTGTGCTGAAGTGACTCTGATAAAGAATTGGTTATGCTTATCTATCCAACTGTTCCGACTACCGTTACAATTGAAAAGTACATAAAAAGCAACCCCTTAACTCAATATCTATTCACTGATGGGTTGAAATAATTAAAAGTGAAGAGAGATTAGTCACAAGTTTTAAAAAAATGTTGGAATTCGTGAAAAATTAACTGGTGAAGAAATAGTTGAAGGTGGCGCTAGAAGTATCGAATTTTGTATGGAGAGTAACTTAGTTACAGATCAAATATTGTACCTATTCAGTGAACAAGTTTCATTTTGAAATTAAGTCAATATCTCTCAATCAGCATTAATTGTCTCATGATTATTTGTACTTAACGAAATTCTAAACTTTTACATGATAGCCGATCTAAGTTTGTAATATTTCTACGAACTAATGTATGCTTATGGCAGCTCAAACTGATGAACTAATATTGATCTACTCTACTGACGAATACATTCTTGGAATCTGGGAGGATGGAAGTACTAGAAGAAAGCGACGAATTTTCTTCTGTCGAAAAACTTCAAAGTCAACTTTACATCCGAGACAGATATTGACTCGAATCATTGGTTATGTTACATTCAAAAATGTGATCTTTTGAATGGAAACATCTTTTGAGTAATGCCATTTCTCTCTGGACCCGATAAGAATCGCCATTCCAAAAAAGATTTTGATGTATGTGGACCGTTCAAAAATAAGGTAAATGTTCCAATTTCGCCGTCTACATACATTCGATAAGCGATTAATATTTATTTTTTATGTTGCTATACTCATCTCGATCATATTGTTCATAGTTTTAGCTGTTCAACTTGTTGGGTTTGTTGATAAAAGGCATGAAAGTTTGAAGTGTTTTGCGTATTCCACGATTCTCTACTATCGAAGAAAATGTATCTTTTGAGAAAAATGAAAATTCACCCTATTTTTTGAACGGACAGTGTATGTTCAATTTTTTTTACACCACGAAGGTGTCATGGTTGAGGAGGTTTCGTATTCTGAAAGATTACAATACTGCTACCAGACTGAGTCATGACCGGTGGGAGAAATCGTATCTGCGTAAAGTTTGGGTCGATGTATGACAAAGAAAATACTAGAAAAAGGTGAATAGAAACTTTTGTTTGCACTTTTACGTAGTACGGATCATGGGGTAAACAATAAATGGATAATAAAATGCAATTTGGGTTCTTGTAGGTATACAGAGTGTAACATAAGTACGTTAAAATATTCAAGTGACGTATGCCTGAGACAATTTTAAGAAAAAAAGTAGATTTCAACTTGTGTCCTAAAATGCTTCGTTTCGGAGATACGGGGTGTTGAAATTGGATTTTTTGTTCGCTTTTTGAAAATAACTCTTGCAAAAAATAAGTATAAATATTAATTTTCATGTAACATCTAGAGGGCGCGTTTACTTTTTGACAGTAAACTTTTGGTACTTTTCATGAAGAAACCTAATTCCCACACCTTTTCCAAGTAAAAAAGGTACACCTCCTCAACAACGCTGGAGGTGATCGTTTGCGAGATATTTACAATTTTTTATATCGGTGCATATAACTTAGCTCATCATATAACAAGGACATTGTTAGATCAAGATCTTCAGATGATGTGGTGCTGCAGGTTTTTCCGGGTTTTCCTGCAGCTGAAAAAGCAAATGCGCCACTGGAATCAATGAAGTCGCCCCGGAGCGCCAATTANTTATTTTTTGCAAGAGTTATTTTCAAGAAGTGAACAAAAAAATTAAATTTCAACACCCCGTATTTCCGAAACGAAGCATTTTCGGGCTCAAGTTCATATAGACTTGTTTTCTTAAAATTGTCTCAGGAATACGTCACTTGAATATTCCAACGTACTTATATTACACCCCGTATAAAAAGCAGTAGGTATATGTAAAGGCAAATTCGAATAATTGTGATATTCTAAGAATAGTGTGATATTCTAAGAAAATCAGTAATTATATTTTGTTGTGAATATCAAAAGAATATTTTTCCATTTGGGTTCTTGTAAATATAGTCAAAGTAGATAATGAAGGAATTAATTCGGGTAATCCGAGTATTCTAAGAGCGAAATTCTGGAAATGTTATTGTGAATAATAAATTAATTTTAAAATGCCCTTTGATATTACGACAAATAAATTAATAATGATAATTTTATATGATAAATGACTATTTTATTTGAACTAAACAAAAAATAAATGATAATAGTCCAAGAAATTTGTCAGAATCACAATCACCATTTTCTTCTTCAGTTTCGTAACTAGAATCTTCACCTAAATTCATAATCAGATTTTCCGTGACTTCATCAATGAAAGGTTCTGCTTCCAAGAATTTTTCTTCCCACTTTTTCGCGTGATCACAGCGTTTCTTCCACTCTTCAGCACTAAATTATTGCTTTAGTAATGCCCGTACTATTTCCATGGAATTAAAGTCTGGGTGGTAGGGAGGTAAGCGTGAGACACTAAGGCTATGTTGAGTTAAAATTTCATCTATCTCGAACGTTTCATATTTTGGCTTATGGAATTTAATAAGGTTGTACAAATCAGGTTTTGATCTATTTGTGTCAAAATAAATATTTTTAGACTTTAGTCATTCTATCATATTTTGTTTTCTACTGTAAGAAGTCGGGGCTTTATCTTTCTGAACATTGTGATGAGGCGCATTGTCAATAACCACGACTGAACGTTGAGGTAGGTTAGGAATTGATTTTTATACCATCCATTTTTTTATAATTGGTAAAATTCATTTCGTGATGGTAGTATCCGGTATTTTAATTTGATTTAAACATCAGTTGAGCATTGGGAATGAAGCCCGTCTGGCTGCCAGCATAAACAATAATTGATCGTTGTCTTTTGAAATGGGCCTAGCTAGTCCTTCATTGGAGTTGTCGTTCCAACAAGTAACAACGGTATGTGAAACAGGAATGTATATTTCACCCTTATATACAATCTTTTTGTTTAATTGTCTGTGAGATTTTATAACACATAAAAAAGCTATTCCTAATTGATGAATATTATGTCCCTCCATTATTATTTTTCTATTTGTTTTCGTTTTTCTCCAGCGGAATCCTATCAATTTAACTACTTCACGAAGAGAATCTTCTTCTTCTATGTATCCAGTTTCTTTAAATCCTCTTAAAATATTCAGCATTGTAGGCACAATTTTGTCAGTGGTATAACTGATATTTATAATAATTATATGTAACAAACTTTTATCTGCGTTGTCTAAATCGATTTTAGGCTTTTTCCTATTTTTCGTTTTAGTTGTCGATTTAAGAGAAGAACCTGCACCTCGTTCTATATCCCTTTGTTCTGTAACAATTCTTTGAATACTTCTTTCTGAATCACCTGTTACAGCAATCACTCGTTCGTACAACTTATCTAATGGAATGTCAAGTACCCCCGACGTCTTTTTTTCTCTATATATTTAAATATATCAGAAACAATTTCACGAGTTCGACTATTTGAAATATCTTTAACCAATTTACTTTTAAACTACATCACTAACTGAATACGGTCCTGAATTTGGATGTTCACGGCTCGAATAATCTACAGACTGATAACAGATTTCTACACATCTACTGCTCATCTTGAGGGAGGGGCTTCTCACCGGCCATGAGTCAGTCCAGCAGCTGTAGTTGAGTTTGCTCTAACTCGGACATCACAAATAGTGATTTTTTTAAATAGACTGGTTCGCAAATATGAGTACTCGGATTAACTGAATAATAATTGCTTACCCAAAGAGTATTGACTAGTTTGATTCAAATAATATCGATTTGGGAAGTGGTTCTGTCAAATATTGGGTATGGAAAGTTCAGTTATTTTGGTCACATGTCATTCAGAATTGGAAGGCATGTGACATCAACGGAAATGAAAGTTTTTGATAAGTATTTATAGATGAATGACGATATGATGCGGGTATTTGATGAAAATGGCTTTTAAATACACAAGCTCTAAGTGATGGGTGAAAGCAATTTGGCTCTCTACTTCTGCATCGTTTTGTAAATATGGCGATATAAACTTCTGAAGAAGTTTTGATAAAAAAGTTCTAATGGAAAATCAAGAATACATAGGAGATCGACCGTCTGGTTGACAAAAGCTCGGAAAGCCTTATTCAGGGCTTTTCGGATTTCAGATTTTCAGATTTCAGATTTCTGAAATATTTCATTCATGCGTTTTAAATTTTGGGATTTTTCTATCAATTACCGAGCTCTGATCTTTCGCCAAAATATATTTTTCAAATTGTCTACGAGTACTTTTTAATACGGACTAGCATGAAGAGACTCCAAACACGGTGTACTAAAAATAGCAGTGATAACATCAATGCGAAAACCATTTTAAAAAATGATCATTGGATGGATCCAAAGCTGAAAAAGCATTGCTAATATTCCAAATCAGTATCTTCTCGAAGTTTTCGAATAATTCTCAAAATTGAGGAATACATGGTTTGCAGTAATTTTATAAAGAATTCAACGAAGGGTCAGAATAAAAAATACTTCTGGTAAGGTCACGGACAGATGCATCAAATTAAAACCTCCAACTAATTCAGTCATTCATTGGGAGCAAGTAAGGTAATTAAGTAATTCAGAGCTATGAAAATGACAATTGAATCTGAATTCAGAATCCAAATGAATTTGTTTCATACATAACATATTCGCGAAATGAAAAATTCTAAAAAAGTTGTACTCACATTTGCCGTTGAAGTAAGTTTTGCCAAACGGCTTTCAGTTCAGCATTGGGAGCTCTCAGAATCACAGTTTTTTTGTTTGAGTTTTTCCTAGGTGTCCTTGTGAGGTCAGGACCGCAGTGAACTGTAGGACTCTTTGCAGTCTCACCCTCGGGATTTATTGTTATCCTGAATTCAGTATCTGAGTATTCAAAAAGAATCGTAAGGTGCATTTCATCGATTGATATCTAGATACATTCAGATTCGAAAATGATTAGAGAAGAAAATATAGATATAGATATAGTATTTCTCTTCATTACATTCGAATTTTTACCTTTTTTTCGTACGTTGAAAAACATATCTGTTATATGTGACAGGGGCAATGGGTCTTCAATAACGAACAAAACACGATCCCTAGAGGCCTTTGCAAATAATAAAAGATCACTAAAAAGTAAAGTCCAATACTGACGAACGTTTCGACCCTCCACTCTACTGAGGTCACCACCAAATATCCATTGTCGGCCAGGTTTATTTAGAACGAAGGGCTGAAAAAAATAATGTTATTGAATAGTATCGATGGATACTAAAAATACACGAAAAAGTATGAAAAAATAATGTCTTTTCAAAAAAATGAAATTCAACCCCGAATTATTGACGATAATTGGGTCAGTAAATTAAATATCTGACGAAGTCAAGATTTTTTGATAGTAGCCAGTTTCAGAATATATACTCACGATAGATCTATAGCTTCTATTTGAAATAATAGTTTTTGATAGAATACAAATTCATTTGATAAATATCACAAAAGACGGCATTCACGCTCTTCTTCAAAGACAAAAAATCCTCTCAAAATGATAAAACATAGCTATGTTTGATATTCCAGAACAGCTTTCAATTTTCATTTATCTGTTATTCATAAACTATCAATAACTGATTTCTATTTATACCGTTTGCTGGATATGAAGATATCCCGCAATAAAAAAGTAAAGATTGAAATGAAGTTTTCCCTTGATGAGTGGTGTATCAAATCAAAGTTTGAAAAACGTTGTGTAACAACTTCCATAGATAGGAGTTAATGTTACAAAATTACCATAAATAATATTTGTTGTATCCACGAGGTCATTTCTAAGTGTCTTTTAACTTTTTTGGGAAAATTTCAATCAACTTTTTTTTAGATTATTTTATAAGAACAGCCTAGCAACTACAAAATAGTGTTTTTGTATCCTAAGTTACAAAATTGTTCAGAATACTGATCGAAACGATATAACAATAAGTAATGTATGTATAGTATATACGAAGGTGATTCGAATGGCATAATTACTGAACGTCGGCAGTTCCTTTGTATGGAATGGGCGGAGTGGTATAATTACGGGGTCTAATCACTAATTTCATATGTGAGGTTTTGTATGGTATTGACTAGTAAATTTATCAGATCCGGAACATTAGTCTTTTCTTCATCTGTTCGGCTTTACTTAATATGGACCAGGGGTTCCCAACCTTTATGCATGTATAATATTTACTCTTCTAAAAGTGTTCAAAGGCTTTTTTAATTAAATTCCTGAGAAAAGTTCATATTTAATGGTTCAATGTGCGATACCTCTAATTCTGTTAGTCATGTCCTAGATATATTCAACTGCCAGATTATACAAATCAAAACATATTTCTTAGCTAACTGACAGTTTTGTTTTTTTTTTAAATAGATTCTCAAATTATATTATGTAAGTACATATTTGTAAATGCCACTGTTACTCCCTATTCTGTAATTGGCTTCATCCTGTCGAATAGTGTATGAAATAAATGAATAAAACATAAATAAATAAATGTTGCTCACATCACCAGTGGTACGTGGTACACTGGTGGTACACGTACCACCCGTTGGAAACCCCTTGTATAGACTATACTTGAATTTGGTCCAAGTTTACACCAGTGGTTTGAGTAAGACCATTTTACGGTACGTAATAACAACAATGTAATAGTTTTGAATCGCAAGATTGAATCATGCATCAACATTCAGTAAATCAAGAATAGTTTATCTTCGATCAAGTGACATTTTCGACTTTTCAATAGCCATATTTACATTAGATCCGTATAAAGAAGTAAATATAATTTGGTGAAGATATTTCTACTTACCTTGCACTTTGTGAAAACTAGCCTATTTTCTAAATCTTGTACTGTTAATAAGGGTCTTCCCTCTCCTAAGGGTTCCATCAGTCCACCTTCGGAGGTGATTTCTCTATAAGTTAACTGGAACATAAAAGTTATTGTTGACCACAAATGTTTTCGATTCTTTCCGTAAAGTTACACTGATGTCTTCTAACGCAAACGTCACCTATCAATGTCATTATATCGACGGCGGTAATTCATATTTGAAGAAGATGTTTGATATATCAACATGGCTTCTACAGAATAGTGAAACAATAAAAATCATCTCCTTACTAAATGATCTATCTGGTCAAAAGTCGAAGTTCTTTCATTTTCCAGTGTTGTAAGGTTGTTTTAAAGTTTTTCTGAAAATTTTTTGACACCTTTTGCCTCTTGTATGTTTCTATAGATGTCGCATATAACAATCTGTTCGTAAGTTTTTTTCACGGATTACATATTCATAACATACTCAGTAAATTTACAATTGAGCGTATTCCTTCACCAAAGATTTCAGAAGACGGTGGATACAAACCAAGCGGTATGCACATTCGAATTCAATAAGTTTATTGATTCCAAAATTACAACTGAACACTAAAGCTCAATTTCATTTAAAAATTATGACACTTAATTCACTTGTTTTCTCATCGTTTTCCTTACTCTTTTCATTCAGAGCTAATCCTTGAAGTATTGTGTCGGGACTGGTGATAGGTGAAATGTTAATCAGGCGGACATAGCGTTTACAAATAACAAAATTTATTGAAACACCAACAAATGAACAAACAGAAAAATAATGTAACCTAGTGGCGAGGAGAATGAGAATTAGAATTGGGACTAGTTCCCCGTCTACATTTCAGTACCGAATGAATTTCGAAATAATCGTCACTGACAATATGGTCGGGGTCATAAATATATTCGAGAAGGGTCAACCACTTGGGCCCTTATCTTAATCCATCAACGTGTTAACAATGGCTGCCTACTCGGAACCTTCCAAATGGTTTCGTTCTAAATATCTATATGTTTTTTTGGCAATAACCGTTGGATTGGAGAGAATAGAGTATTTTAATGATTTGCCATGAAAAAATACAAGCATGAATATTTTTTTTTTGGTCGTGTTCATGACACAAATACGTCTCGTGATCCGCTTTTATTGTGATTTTGGCAGTTAATTTCAATATAAAAATTTCGTTGTTTTTCCTAGTCATTGTGGAAAGAGGTACCTTCATCTTCAAGTTCTGGTGAGCTGTCTCATCTTCATAATTACGCAATTACATCCGAATATTCACTTCTCACAATGGATATCGAATAAGAATTTTGTTGTAAAAACTATCAACAAGCAATCTTATCGGAGATAGAAGAAACTTGACATAATAATAATTCACAGTTTTATCTATTACCCATAGGTCTAAAAACATTCAAATAAAAATTATTAAAAAGTCAGCAAAAATGCTTCGTGATGGATGACACAATGCGTAACTTTTGCATTCGGGAGCAACTCCCTTCATCTTTGCTGCTAGCCCTGTCAATTAAATTGGTTCGAAAGTGTTTCAAGACATACAACACATTGAGGAATAGGAATGTCCCTGGTTTCAGTCCCTGGCTTCACTTTAAAACCGTACTGTAAGTAGCTTTCATCGTATTTACGATTGGCCGGTAATTTATGTTTTCAGCACAATCCTTTGAAGTAGAAGAGGACGTCAGAAATCGATTCATAGTTCAGTTTTTGTATACGTAATCAGAATTAATAATCACAATACCCACAACGAACCTGTAATGCTAAGTGAAAGTAAAAGACAATCCTTTTGAAGACCCACAGCTTAAAAATGAAACATCTTTTGTTTACCAAATGTACTATCTGGGGATTCCTAGGTAAAATTCCTAAAGTGTTTTATTATTTTATTACCTAGGAATTATAAATTCCAATGTAATAGAAAAACGAAGATGTCAGGTTGTTCACTGGGTTATGGGTATTTCGTTTTTCTAGCGACCCGTGAGCTGAGTCATGTTTGCTATCAATAGCATGATAAACAATATCATCACCTGCTCTCAACTGTTACATATGTTGAATTTTTGGGTTCCTAGACGGTCATCTAGGAATAGTGTCACATTTTATTTCCACACTCCGCGTACAAATATAATGAAAAATCTCCAATTTATACAATGTGCGATACCTCTAATTCTGTTAGTCATGTCCTAGATATATTCAACTGCCAGATTATACAAATCAAAACATATTTCTTAGCTAACTGACAGTTTTGTTTTTTTTTTAAATAGATTCTCAAATTATATTATGTAAGTACATATTTGTAAATGCCACTGTTACTCCCTATTCTATAATTGGCTTCATCCTGTCGAATAGTGTACGTGTACCACTGGTGGTAGACGTACCACCGGTTGGAAACCCCTGGTAGAGACTATACTTGAATTTGGTCCAAGTTTACACCAGTGGTTTGAGTAAGACCATTTTACGGTACGTAATAACAACAATATAATAGTTTTGAATCGCAAGATTGAATCATGCATCAACATTCAGTAAATCAAGAATATTTTATCTTCGATCAAGTGATATTTTCGACTTTTCAATAGCCATATTTACATTAGATCCGTATAAAGAAGTGAATATAATTTGGTGAAGATATTTCTACTTACCTTGCACTTTGTGAAAACTAGCCTATTTTCTAAATCTTGTACTGTTAATAAGGGTCTTCCCTCTCCTAAGGGTTCCATCAGTCCACCTTCGGAGGTGATTTCTCTATAAGTTAACTGGAACATAAAAGTTATTGTTGACCACAAATGTTTTCGATTCTTTCCGTAAAGTTACACTGATGTCTTCTAACGCAAACGTCACCTATCAATGTCATTATATCGACGGCGGTAATTCATATTTGAAGAAGATGTTTGATATATCAACATGGCTTCTACAGAATAGTGAAACAATAAAAATCATCTCCTTACTAAATGATCTATCTGGTCAAAAGTCGAAGTTCTTTCATTTTCCAGTGTTGTAAGGTTGTTTTAAAGTTTTTCTGAAAATTTTTTGACACCTTTTGCCTCTTATATGTTTCTATAGATGTCGCATATAACAATCTGTTCGTAAGTTTTTTTCACGGATTACATATTCATAACATACTCAGTAAATTTACAATTGAGCGTATTCCTTCACCAAAGATTTCAGAAGACGGTGGATACAAACCAAGCGGTATGCACATTCAAATTCAATAAGTTTATTGATTCCAAAATTACAACTGAACACTAAAGCTCAATTTCATTTAAAAATTATGACACTTAATTCACTTGTTTTCTCATCGTTTTCCTTACTCTTTTCATTCAGAGCTAATCCTTGAAGTATTGTGTCGGGACTGGTGATAGGTGAAATGTTAATCAGGCGGACATAGCGTTTACAAATAACAAAATTTATTGAAACACCAACAAATGAACAAACAGAAAAATAATGTAACCTAGTGGCGAGGAGAATGAGAATTAGAATTGGGACTAGTTCCCCGTCTACATTTCAGTACCGAATGAATTTCGAAATAATCGTCACTGACAATATGGTCGGGGTCATAAATATATTCGAGAAGGGTCAACCACTTGGGCCCTTATCTTAATCCATCAACGTGTTAACAATGGCTGCCTACTCGGAACCTTCCAAATGGTTTCGTTCTAAATATCTATATGTTTTTTTGGCAATAACCGTTGGGTTGGAGAGAATAGAGTATTTTAATGATTTGCCATGAAAAAATACAAGCATGAATATTTTTTTTTTGGTCGTGTTCATGACACAAATACGTCTCGTGATCCGCTTTTATTGTGATTTTGGCAGTTAATTTCAATATAAAAATTTCGTTGTTTTTCCTAGTCATTGTGGAAAGAGGTACCTTCATCTTCAAGTTCTGGTGAGCTGTCTCATCTTCATAATTACGCAATTACATCCGAATATTCACTTCTCACAATGGATATCGAATAAGAATTTTGTTGTAAAAACTATCAACAAGCAATCTTATCGGAGATAGAAGAAACTTGACATACGATAAGACGGTAGTACGGGTGCTTGCTTCCGATTCACGTTGTGGGTTGTTTTGNTGGACCGACGATCATAATCTTAATTTGAGATTCAATAACTTGCTCACGCCCCCTCACCACAAAACTTCCCATTTTCGTGGATCGTTTTCTTATTACATAACCTGGCTCTTTAACAAATTACCTAACGAACTAAAGAATTCAAATTGTATTATATTCAAGAAGAAAATCAAACATCTTTTGCTTACGAATGAAATTCCTAGCATGCTGAATTTCAAGTGCTAGTATTTATTTTCGTTTTTTTTTCTTTTTCTTGCATCGACTTCTTTGCTTTTTAATTATAGTATTATACATGTGTTCAATGTGACTTGCATACCATTTTATGTAGTATATTTTTAATCGTGTTTGTTTGGTGAGATGTTTGCTTGTGTGCACTTGTGATTATGTTTACATAGGTGCACACATTTTTTGGTTGGATGGAAGAGCAAGATCTGCTCATGTTGCGATTTCTCCGTAGCATGGTCAACTAAATAGTTGTAGGAAAAACCCTACAAATCTTAATTCTTCTACTATACACATAGCAACTATCATATCTGTGAACAGGATTGCTAATTCGAACTGAAGTTATCAACAAAAAGATTATTACTATTATAGCCAATATTTTTGGCTGTGATATTATACTCTGCATTCGTGACTTTTTGCCTAACCGGTGATGGTAGACTCAATTTTCTTACAGTTATAGCATCGCTGAACAAAAGCCTCTTGCTCCATTCCGTCTGACTATTAATATCTGAAGCTTGTATAAATTCCAGTTAGAGAATTTAAAATTTCATGATTTATCGAAATGTTCTGAAGGTGCTTTGGTTCTGATATCCACGGAATGTTTTTGCTTTACTACCAACGTCTTAATATGCGTTCAAATTCTGTCCTTACAATAGTCCATTTCTACAATCAGGTATTTGTTGCTGTAATCAGAGTTAACATCCAAAAAAATTTACTCAGATATTGAATTTTCATCCCAGACTCTTGGTTGTTGGTCATTCTTCGAAAATCAATCGTTGCACAATTCAATAAGTTTACTCACCATGGAATGTTCAGATGGTAGAATGATGGAAACCGAAAATCTAGAAGGTGATCTCTTCCGGATACCTTAGTTCTAATAATAATAATCTTCTTTATTGTTACCCAGCTGTAGTTACATACAAATATTTAAATAAATTAGAGAGCTAGTTGCTGGCATAACAAAAGGCGAAGTTCAACTTAGTTAGCACAAGTACTACTGAGTTGTTCTTNCATTATCATTGACTCTTCGAAACTGTCTCCAAAAGTAAAGCCAATATTTAAATTCGCCACCGAACTTTCTGGACTCGATTTTTGGTAATAATTTCAATTGGAGTCTTTTCTTTGTACTACTGGAACATTGAGAAAGTGAATCAGCAAGCAAATCCTGGTTTGAAAGACTTCCTGTAATATATTTGACCTTATGAAATGCAATTTCAATGCAAATTCATCGTCTGATATAAAATCAACAACTTTTACATGTAAATCCGACAAGATTTCGATTTTTTGTTCCAGGAGATTAATCTTGCTAAGTATGCTAATCTTCTCGGTTTCCTTTTTACCAAACAAAACGGAAACATCGTTGAAAACTTGATCAAATAAAGTTCGTTGGGTATCTAGTAGGTACTTTTTTCACCTTCTCCATAGTCGAAGTCCTGTCACGATTAATTAATTAATATATTCTAAATTCACCTATCCGATGACTGAATACGTCGAATGTGGGACGAATATGGGTGATTGATACAGTAAAAGTACCAATTATATTCAAAGACTTTCATAAAACTTAACTTCTTTTCCAAGTGACATAACACTGACAATCAATCAAATCGCATAAACTCAGAGCGTTCAAAAAATATGTGAACTGTAGGTATAATCAAATAGATCTTGCAAACTGATCCACCGGATTCCCGGCTTCGTGAAGGCTACGATCTACTGAAAATCATTGATCAATTTCAGAGTGAAACAATGTCCCAATAAACCAGTGCACGATGACTAGAAGCTATCTTTTGGAAATTAAGTTTGAGTGAAACAAAGTTTCACTTTAGTATGGATCGACTTACGAATTGAAGGCATCTCAGTATAGAATCAAATACGATCCAATGGAGTTCTTAAAACTTCTAGAATGAATTTTAGTTTGTCGATTTCTATTGTTTCAAAGTTGCTATTTCAATGAAATTCTGAACAAAAGTAATTTTTTCAAAAAAAAAACAGTTTTTTTTCGACCTTCCACAATTTTCCTATGAAATATTGTACATATCGTATTCACGCAATTCAACCATATATTATTTCGATTTCAATTAGATTCCAAGGTATATTTTTCACTAGATTTCAACTGAAATCTGTCTTACCTGTAAGTCATGTACAATTTGGTTTATCACAGGAAAGTCATCATGATTTGGTTTTGTGCTACCTTGTATCGTTGTCAGTAGCCTTAAAATGTCTCTATAATGTTCTAAAGGCTTGTGAATAAACGTAGTGATATCCGGCCTCCTTCTCGGAATCTGAGGTACTTGAAGAAACCGGCAGAAGTCTGAATTGGAATTTTTAGTCTTGTTTGCTAATACACAGTCAGCTTTTTTAATTCCTGAGCAGTAGCGTTTATACGCTGTAGTTATTTCGTGCACTTTCATGTGATAAATTTTGATGAGGAGATGTAATTGAGGCTCCCCGTCTTCTTGATTCAAGTGATCCAAGATGTCTTCGGTGATTCTGAGAATCTGAAAAATTGAAGATTACTCTGCATTATTATTGCTATACTGACGGTAATACCACTATAATGTATTCTTTCATTTTGTTCATTAAGATTTGGATATTTACGCTGGTGTATCAATGAATAAATACACAACTTAAGTTTTATGCTACCCTAAGGGAGTTAAATTTTTTTTCTTCACCAAACAGCAATAATAACAAACTCAGAAGTACCGTTCTCATGTAACTGTTTTCCTTTTCCCTTCGAATTCTCAATTTGTTTGATTTTCCTGAGTAGAAAGAAAGAAATCGTTGAGTAGAGGCAATCGGTAAATTACCAATTTCAATATACTGCGCCCATTTATTCATGACTGCATTCAACATGATTCGAATTTATCCAGCTAGGATCGAACTTAACGCTAAATGCTGTGAGACTGTCTCGCTGAGCTGGACTTGGTGCTTCGGCGAAGGCTGGAAATCTATTGTGCTCCAGCAAGAGGCTGGAGCCAACTGGGTTTTGATACAATAAGAGAGATGATCAGTGGGACAGTCACTAAAACGGTGAACCGAGGTTGCTCACAAGGCTCCTCTCTGGGTTGATAGTGGCGGGAGACTAGTTTGAGAGAACCATGAAAATGAAGTTAAAAAGTTTTATGGAGCACTAACCATCGTCGAAGAAGCCACAGTTGAAAATATTGAAAGGAGGTAGGAAATACGAGTATATGAATAGAATGTAAGAGACGGAAAGAGCAAATGCGACATAAGTATAATATTATGAAAACAGAATATTTCTGCACAACAGCAAGGAGAGAAGAAGAAGAGTTGGTGATAAAAGGGAGATAAAATCAGAATGAATGTTGAGTATATCGGAGTTGTGGTCGACTTGGGGATGCTCCTCGTGCAAAACCACAAGGTAGCGAAAAAAATCTGTGTGCATCACCCATCGGTGATGAACCGAAATAAGTGAATTAAACATATAAAAATGCTTGTGGAGTAGAGAGAGTGATAATAAGGTGAACACGAAGCAAAATATGGTAAAGAGTCTATTTCCACTCGATATAAGACTGCATCTTTTCCTTGCAATGTTTACTCACTGGAATGCGCATGTCAGAAGTGAAAAATCAAAGCTAGAATGAAAGAGTTGTTTTCAAGGTACTGTCCTGGAATATCGTTCGAGAAAGAGAAACGGGTAATGAAAGTTTGTGTTGATACCGTTGGGAGTTAGCAAGGAAGAGGTGGCAAGAGGAATTTTGTCAGTTCGGATTTTCATTGTCTAATATGATTCTAATGTGATTGGAAATCTCTGAAAGAACAAATAAAATTAAAATGATTAGCTATAATTATATTGAGCGATAAAAATGTGAAATGGAATTGAAATAAAATATTAATGGAACTACAATAGTTGGTGATTTTGACTAGATCCATGAAGAAGTTCTTATAAAATCTGTGCGCATTTTTTAACCTTCAATTTCTTCGAATATATTCGAACATTAGACAATCAATTGTTGAAAATTCATATTATATATGAATAAACTATCCAGTATGGAAAATATTTGTATAGGTTTTATCAGTATTGAGAATGTGATGAAAAAAACACAGTAAAATATTATGTGAGCTAATGAAGAAGTTAATGAGTTTGAAATCATTATTGAAAATGAATTGTCGGAGAAAGAGAATTAGAAGGTGAGGTAACTGTTTGATAAGAATGAATGATGAGAAGGTCTATTCGACACCTAAACTCTCATTCGGATATACTTTTGAAAAATTGAAATAAGTCTGCAGACTGTGTTGACGAGAGACATAAACATATGTAGAAAATGAATATTATATATTGAATTCAAACAAATACATTTCGGCTCATACTACGATAGACAATGAATTACATATATCCAACAGACAATGTTATAACAGATGGATTGAACACGAATATGGAGAGAAGATTCTAGATTCTACGGTTGATTACTAATAATGATACTGCTGCCATTGTTGGATCACAAGTCTATCTAGCTACCAACGATTAATGTGAAAGCTTGGTTTTGCAACTGATCGCCTTGGAAAGCCACGTTCATCTTCGATATTAAAAGATTGAGTCTCTTCTGTCGACCATATAGATATAATCTTTCTAGGAGAGATGTCATCGACTTCACTTCCAGTCTTATCATTTTCAAGACAGTTCAGTGGTTCAACCTAGCACCACTTAAGAGACCAGGTGGGTCGAAGAAATAGCGTTGTATGGTATTGAAACACAAGTCCATCTCAATGGTACTGATGGTCAAATAGAATCTCAAGTTTCGCGGCTTTGACAGTGAATTTGATAGAAACTTGGACAAAGACTGTAGTAAAAACAGTATTGCTCCAACAGTACAATTTGCTGAACACGCGAGATGGCACACATATTGCTTCTCTACAAATGAATTGTGTGAGATGTTTCTGTAAACTGAAGTTTGTCGGTTACTCAAAAGATATTAATGTGAATTGAAAATGTGGTGGCGTCGATTGCTAGCAAACAAACTTATACCATGAAATCCAGGTTTGAGTTTCTTCCATTCTCTTTCTAAACAATCTCAAAAAAGTTTTCATCGACTGGAACATTTGATTACTGTGATAAAAAACCCTATTCATAAACATTCAAACATTCACTGCCTTAACCAATTCATTAAAACTTTAGTTACTTAAAAAGTTTACTGTACAATATTCGTTAGCATAAATGTTACCTCTTCACAGTTCTGGAATAATATTCGATGTTCCGCTGGGGTAATGAGATCCTTTCTTTCAGCCAAAGCCGACACAAACCTAGATACTGCAAATTGAAGGCCCGTGGCGTACTGCTGTTCTTTGTTTATCAACTGATACATAGTTCTATTACGGTTTTCTTCAGGATTCTTAGACGGCTTCTGGAAAAAGGAAAAGCATTCAATTATGATATAGTCGATATTTAAAAATAAACACATAGAGGTTTGATTATACAGTCCTAAACGCCTTAACTTTTGAGATTCAGGGTGGCAAAGTTTTCAAAAATAATCAGTTTTTTAATAATAACTGAGATAATTTTGTAGACATCTTTGGCATATTTGGTACATATGTTCCATGCCTCAAGGCGCATTTTCTGATGTACACAAATTTGTATTTTTTCAAACAGTGAATATTTTTTGGGAAAAAGTACTACGCCAATGCTTTCTTTTCAAAATAAAATAATTTTTAAAATCCTCATTTATTTTTGAGAAAATTTGATCCCCTTTGTCCGACGCATGATTTTTACTCAAAAAAATAAAAATCGACAGAAAGCAAATTAAAAAATTAGATCAATTCTAAAATGAATGAGAATCTGAAAATTGCTTCATAACGCATTAACAATTCCCTAATAATATTTGAAAACATAATCTGCAAAAAAATAAATTTTTCACAAAAACGAGTTTTATTTTATTTTGTGACAGTAAGTCTAAACGAATAGCACAAATTTGTTAAT